GGGGGTCGAAAATCGTTGTCCACGTAATTTATTTTTGATGTGTGGGAATAAGAAGAAGTCATTGGGTGCCAAATCAGGGCTGTACGGCGGATGACCCATCAGTTCGATCTTTCGCTCCGTCAGAAATGCCTTTGTTTGAGTCGATGTGTGAGAGCTCGCATTGTCATGATGAAGAATGATTCGCCTGTTCTTCTGCTTTTTTCGAATTTCTCCGATGACTTCTGGCAAACAAATGGTCGTGTACCATTCAGAATTGACCGTCCTGCGTTGCTCTAACGCCACTGTTGCCACATGACCGTTAATGCCGAAGAAGCAGGCAATAATTTGTTTCGATGTGCTTCTTCCTCAAACAATTTTTGTTGGTTTTGCCTCGTATTGGAAAACCCATACAGTTGATTGCTGTTTTGTTTCCGGCTCATATGCATAGATCCATGATTCGTCACCTGTGTAGATGTTATACACAGCCTTTGATGTACCTTGAGCGTATTTTTCCAACATTTCCTCGCGACATCGACACGAGCCTTTTTTTGAGCGTTTGTCAGATTATGCGGGATCCAACGCGAAAAAAAAAATTTTACGCTCAAATGTTCATGCAATATTTTATTGATGCTAGTCATACTAATGTCCAAAGACGCCTCTATCTCACGGTATGTCACATGACGATCTTGCTTTATCAGTTCACGCACAGCATCTATCTTTTCTGGCACTACAACGGATTTTGGACGACCTGCACGGGATTTGTCCTGGATCGAACATCGACCACGATTAAATTCGTTATACCAATTTTTTACAGTGCTGTAGGATGGCGCTTTATCGCTGAATAAAGAATTAAGTTCATCGAAGCACTCTTGTCTTGACAATCCACGTCGAAAGTTATGAAAATGTGAAATGAAAGTATGGAATGTGAAATGAAAGTATGGAAATGAAATGTGAAATGAAAGTATGGAATGGCACAAAAATGTTCACGATTCAATTCCATTTTTTGAAAGAGAAGAACTTTTCAATTTACTGTCAACAACACAAATGAAGCTATAATGGTAAATCGTCTGCTGAATCTATGTTTAAAAATATCAAACTTTCGATTAAAATCGTCAGTGGTCGCCTAGCAACACTTACTGTTGCCAAGGCCAGAAATATAAATAGCAACCCTCGTATTACTTAAATACTAATTAAATAGATGAGCTAAATAGATAATAATTAAATAGATGATAGATGCTAATTAAATAGATGATAGATGAAAATAAATTGCAAATTTTTAAATTTTTTAGATAGTGATTCATATTTAGGGGAGGGAGACTGTAATATAAAAAGTGTGACCAAATCTTTTTATATTATTTCGTAATTCATCATTCAGAACAAAGCATATTCACGTAATTAATAATTCACATCCTGTTTTAAAAATAGATTAAAAAATGCAGAACTAACGATAAAAAGTTTTTTCCATAAGGAAATAAAAAATCTCATAAAGAAACCTCTAACACATTATTTGGACATATTATAATTGTTAAATTATCCATTATAGCACATGTGATCATGACGATTAAATTTTTCTCTTAAAATTCTCTAATATACAAAATGAAGTGTATTAATTTTTGTATGAACTTGGCTTTCCTGCACTCTGTTTAAAATAAGCAAATAAAGAGGGCCTTCTTTTCACCTGTATGCTTGTTTTATGTCTATGCTTGGCCACTCTATTATATACATTTTCTTGTCATTATTCGAAATTTTAAGTTAACTCCTATTCATTGTTTTCCAGTATATGTCAGTTGCAAAAAATAATCAATGCAAGTTTTACTGAAGTAGGTAAAAAGTCTGTCTACTTGCGTATCAAATATGCCAGGAAACTTTTGTAAGTTGACAGCTTGCAATGTATTGCTTTAGTGGTTAACTTATAGAAAAAAATTAGCCTTTTTTTTATGATTTCTTAAATCCTGTTATTCTTATATGCACGCAGTTATTCAAACATGTCTGATTGAATATAAATGCAATTAAATTTTTCTAATATGATTTTAAAATTTTATTTAGAAAACACCTTATATACATGAAAGAAATGAAAATAAATTAAATAATGTATAGTAATTTCCGGTGGACACACCGCACCGACGTATAGGCTACACTCGGCAAAAACATAGCTAAAAATTTTAATTTTCATCTTATAGGCCGCACTGCCGTAAAGGCTGCACTTTCGTTTTTTTCCATCGATCATCGATTTATGTCAAGTATCACAAGCATGAAAATACGCTTAAAAAATAATAATCTTTAAAATATAAGCTCTATACTTAGAAAATAGTTATTGATAAATCTTTTTTTTATATATACTTTTATTAAAAAAAGAAAGAATTGAGAATGATACATACTTACAGTAGAAACATGTATAACCAATCAAAATTGTAAGTTGAGAATGTATACAAGATGAAAAATAAACTGATCACAAAGTAAAAATAAATCACCATTTTTTTATTTACTTTTCAAATATTTCTGATCATATATTTATTCAAAAACATTGAAATCAGATTCTTCACTGTCAGAACAAAACAAACGTTGTAAATCATCTTCTAGTTCATTTTCTATGACATCTTCATCATCGGACATCAAGGAAGGAACATATTTCCCACAAAAGTGCTTAGTGGTAAGATAAAAGAAAGAGAAGGAAATGTATGAATGGAATTCTGTAGAACAAGTAGGGGAGACAAACTAAAGAATGTGAAGAAAGTCAGTGCAATATGTTAAAATACATAAGGCCCCTCTTCCCATGCTAGATCACCTTATTCCAGGTGCAACCAGAAAGAATAACTATTTCATTCACTAGTAACAATAGTAATGGTCAAATATAACCCCTTCAAAATATAGATTCTTCAGTGACCTTCAACCTTCAAGAAAGAAAATGAATAGTTAAAAAGAAAATGAATTGCTAAAAAGAAAATTAATGATCATGGCAGTCATAGGAGGGACAGACGGATTCTATGATGTTGAAAATATTTATGGCATCCACAGCCCAACATAAATTTAGTGTGTGTAATAATAAAAATAAAAGACTTCCCTCTCCTCCTCAGAAGGGAGAGATAAAATGCTTCATTCTTTCTCCCTTCAACCCCCTGCTATCATTAGCACAATGACCTGTGTGAGAAAGGGTTGGAAATGACAGCAGAACATACTGAAAATTAAACAAATTGTTCTTTTGATCACTAGTAGACAGGTGATTTTAATTTTTTCTTTGTTTTTCGTTTTGTTTCTAAAATTTGATTTATTACGAAACTGTTCTTTTAGCTGGGTTTGTTCTAGCTTCATAAAAAAGGCGAGATGATAAATTCTGAAAAGAACACGTTTCCTTATAATTAAAAAATCCTGGTTCTAAAGAAGGATATCCAATTTTGAAAATAAAGTTCTTGTTGTTTATCATTCAAAATTTAAAATCTTTTCTAACCAAAGCAGTTAAACATAGAAAAAAAAATAGTTTTAAAACTACTTCATAAGAGAATTCGTTAAAAAAAGAAAGAAAGAAACTATGATTGCACTTAATTCCCAAAGGAAACATTTCAAATAAGACAAAATCTTTCATCTCCAAATCTTAAGCTTTAATTATGTATAATAAAATCTATATATGAGTGATAAATAAGAGCATAGATAATGAAAAATAATAAAGTATTGAATAAGTTTATTTTTGATTTTTAGATGATGTAGAAAATGCTGAAGTAAACACTACGAAATTTTTTTTACTGAAATTGATTAAAAGAAAAGACGATGTAAAATATAAAAGAAAAAGAATACTTACTTTCAAGAAAAAATAAAATAAATTATGACTTTCAATGGTGAATGTATTTAGTTTCAGAGAGAGAAGCAAATGTTCCAATTGAAATATATTAATAGTTCGAAGTCTAGTTCCATTTTATTTTTGGTATTTTCTATAAACTCAGAAGTGGAGTTTGTTCAGAAGAATATCGTTTTTTTTCTTTCTATTTTTAGTTTTTTTTCTTTTTTTCAAGTTTAATATTTTTTAAATTTTTTTCTTCTTTCTTTCGAATTTAATCTCTTTTTTTTCTGCCGCAGTTTGACAGTTCTTACATCAGTCAATCTACAGATCGGTGTCAATTTAAAACTCCCGTGATTTATTTTTCTTAAGCGCTTACTTCACGCAGAAATTTTTTTTTAAAATTTCTATGTCTTATATATTGAATGCATTGGTTAGCAAATGGTTCAGAAATTTTTAATCAGCGTTGAAAAATAAATAAAAAGGAAATACAACTAAAAGTATCTACTGAAATCGGATTGATGCATAGAACAATAAGAGTTTATTTTCTAGTTCTGTGACAATTTAAAAATAAAATATTTATGAAGAAAATATAGATGAGAAGAAGAGAGTTAAAAATAAAGCGTTCTAAGTTTAATTATTCTTAAGTTACAAATCCAAATTTTAATACCATATGTGGATAACGTCATGCGATTTTTCATCAATCAGAAACTTCTTCAATCCAACTATATTTTAATGGAAAAAAATTAAGAAAACGTTTTCAGAGCTAACATTACAAAACAGGTTTTTAATCTTGGAAAATTTTTGGTAAAGATCAGTTCTTGAATAAATCCACCATGATCGAAAAATTATCACATATGGCTTGAGATAAATGAATTCTTCGTATTGGACGCATCGGCACACAGACCGCACATCGTGACAGCAAAACTTTTTACACATATAAGCCGCAGCCTATCTATCGGAAATTACTGTACTAGAATGCACTTAAATTTAATATCAAACATATCGGTTAAAAAAAAACAAATATGCACTTTTTTCAGACATATGACTGCTGAAACAAAAAATCAGTTTTTTTTTTTAATTAAAAAGTTAGAGAGTTTGTTTTCAAATTAAACAATTTTTTCTTTATGCATAGAAAAAAAATTTACATTTTCCTGAATATTAATTATTTGATACTGTTCTTTTTTTTTTATAAACCAGAAAAATTACCTCAAACAAAGTTGTTATAAAAATAACCAAATTATGAACTTACTTTTTGATATATCCATGCTATCAAGTGGAAATCTCGTGAGGTATTTGTATTTGTTCATTTCCAAAACATTTGCATTTTGTGAAGATCTACAAAAAATATCAAAGTCAAAAACTATTTAACAAAATAAAAGGATAACATAAACAAAGAGAAAATAAATTAATACATACAGTACTATACAAAAAATGAGTGAGCTTCAATAATGCATCATTAATTCAAAGTAGTTTAAATAATATAAATTTTTTTAAAGTGGATTATTTGAAGAAAAGCATTTAATGTAAGGAATATTTGGTCACTATTTGGTTTTCAGCCCTTTTGTCTAATATTCGGTTGGCCGAATGCTTAGTCAAATATTTGGCCAAATATAGTATTTTTTGAAAAAGTTTTTTTTGGCGAATTTGAATAGGTTTAATAAAGAATATTCTAAAATTGTATTTTTTTACTACACCTAAAAAAATAGTTTTTACACATACTTGTAAAGTTCTAAAACTTATTAATTTATGTTCTGAAAGACAAATGAAAAAGAGAAATTAAAAAAATTAAATTTAGATTGCTTTATACTGAACCATGAGCTTTGTTTGAGCTGATTTTTTAAAAATTATATTCAGGTAAGTCTATTTCGTAGCTATTTCAAGAGTTCGTAGCAACACTTTTTTCTTAAGAACTGACAACTTTTTTTGTTTTTGTTTTGCTGACTTATTTATTGCTCAGCATTTTAATGGAGTGTTTTTGATAGATTTTATTGTTTTATTGTCACTTTCTTTCTGTGTGGTAAGACATATAGCCATTAAAACACGGTGAAAACTAATTTTCAACATCAAAGTTTTATTTCAGAAATAAGAACAGTTTTTTTGCTTTTCATTACCTTTTTCTTTTTTCTTTTTTTTTTGATCAGTGTTTTTATTATGACGCAGCATTTTTTAAAAGCAACGTTAATTTGAAAAATTAAAGTAACATAAAAATAATTTTTCAAATTAAAGTTATTCTTTTACGGTTGAATTTTTTCAAAAAATAAGGCAATATAAAAAAAATTAAATTGAGATTCTTAGCGTTAAATTTTTGGCTTAAAAATTTGGAGTGGTTTTTGTTATGGCTTCTATCTAGCTTTTCCTTTTTTAAAAAAAAACTTTAGTTTTTATAAACAAATTGTTTATTGACCGTAAATTGTTTTAAGAATATTTTCAAGGATATAGAAGAATTAAATAACCTACAAAGATATTTATTTAAGCTTTTTTTTTCTAAAGAAAATGAATATATGAAAACGTTTGATATAAATACATAATTCTAGATGTAGGTACAGAAAAATGAATATAATTTTCCTATTAACGCAGATATTCAAGTTAGTCATATGATAACGAATAAGAGATTTTAGTCCTCAGTATATTTCAATTATTAGGTTTACACCCCTTAATAGTTACCTATTACTTGATAGGAAATGTGGTAAATATCCCCTTGAAAGTAAACCTCCCACGATTCATAGAATAAAAGCAATGGAAATAGAATGTAAGGCATATGGACCTATGCAGTTGATTATTCACAATTGATCATCTATCAAGAGTCGGAATAAATGTTTGATTCACATGAACAACTCTACATGAACTTATATTTCTGTTATCTTTTTTAACCACAGCTGCGTTAAATACAGTTTTGAAATTGATAAAAAAATGAAACATTTTCAGTGGGGGAGGCGAAGCATTGAGAGCATTTCAGACTTCATTTCAACTTGAGAGGTCTCATAACCAGTGTTGTCCTGGTGTAAAGATCAAAAGATGCCGCTGTCTGAATCATTTCACAAGAGCAGTATCATTTTCTCTACTTTCTTTGCAAAGATAAAGCAAGGTGACAGGAGAAAGAATGATTCTTTAGTAGTGAAATAGCTTAACAATATTTTTAGTTATGGATAAGGCAACAAATTTGCATGCTTTAAAAAATGGTGAAAAGTTGCATCTTTTTTCTTGCCATTTAAGTCAAAAAAGTCTTTTTTTTTTCAAATTTAGAAAAAAGAGTGTCCGGTTTGAAGAGATAGAAAATAACGCTTTGGGGCAGAAATGGCTGTCCGAGAACGTACATAATTATTTACTCATAGAAGATTCATGGGGAATTAAAAACATATCGGTATTGAGAGGCGTCCATTTTGCAGGAGTGTCCAGGAGGTTTCATTGTATATATATATATAAAATGAAACCTTTATAGCAAAGTTTGAAATTTCCACTCATCAGTTTGCTAAATATTTAATGCTGGTGAATAAGTTTTGCCATCATGCAAAACACTGTGTTTCATATCAAATTACATTTTCTCCAAAGCTCGCAGAAGACAAATATACACAAAAATATCCATCACAAAAAGACTGAAATCTATGGTAACAGATGCATTGCTGCATATTTTATGGCGATTAGAGTTAAATTTGATGAACAAGTGGATGTCTCTTCTGGATGATCAGACCACAGTTAAATGCGGGCCCTGTACAATGTTTGACTTTTCCTACCTTGAGTATTTATTTGTAACTCCTAATATGCAAGGCTTTTTACCAAATATTCTAAAACTATGTATTAAGATACAATATGGAACACTCAATTTACAAAGACAAAATATTATGATAATTCATTTTTATGCACTGAACTGAATAATTATGCTAAATATAATTTTCTAAGGTTAAAAAACTGTATTATATGAACATAATCTGTCATATAAAAACTTAAAATGTATATTTGCATATAAAATATTTTAAATAATTCACAATAAAAAGTCCATGAAATAATTTAAACTATACTCTTATGTTGAACTACAAGAAAATATGTATAAAAAACAGCTTAATAAGAAAATAATCTTACGAAAGGGCTGCAGTTGAAGGTTTTCTAATTGTTTTCTTTTTGATGGTGGTGATAAGCATGAGGTCAGAAAAAAGAAAAAGGCATCTTTCTTTTTTAGTTCCCAGACTTCCCTGAAATGAATACAATTTTTTTTAATTTGAAATCATTTGATATGTAATGCAATTCAGGGTTTGATTATATTTTAAAAACCTACGCTAGGCATGATTGTCCTTCTTCATTGATAAGCAGCCCATTTCAGCTCAAAATTGTGCTTTTTTTTTCTTCGTTCCTCTGTGATCTTATGTTAATTTGGACATTTCTAACTTTTTTTATAAATGTTACATATTCACATAGCTGTCAACTCTACTGGATTTTCCAGTAGACTACTGGATTTTGCCAGTTTCTCCTTCTACTGGTTTAATAAAAATTCTCCTGGTTTTTGTACATTTTTAGAAAATATATAAAATTAAGTAAGTTTCCAAAAAAAACTTCCTATTGACGTAGCATTTTTGCACAGATTATTGCTAGCTTGAATATTTAAATATGTATCACTGATGCATAATAAAGCGAGCTTTGTTTATAGAAATCAGTTTCAAACATTTTTTTGTTTCAAAATGTTCAGTTTCTCTTTTTTTTATTATTCAGAACTCACTTTTTATTAATATTCAAAATTATGAGCAAATGATTCATTTAATGTCAATCATAACTGGAAAATATTGCAGTTTTTCTATTTTGATTTCCATAAAAATCTCTAAAATTCCCTATGCATAAAATATTTAGTACAATGTGCAACAATTGTCATGAAATTTATATTATTCCATAAAGTCTACTGGATTTTTTCCTATCCATGTTGGCAGCTATGAATATGCATGATCCTATTTTTTTTAAATAAATAATTTTTAGTTTCATAAAAAGCTTGCATGTACTATTTTGAGCATCAATCAGGTTGAAATTTGCTGAGGACAACAATTGGTATTATTTCCCACCCCTATTTTCTTCTCTATGAAGGGCATTCTGAGGAAAGAGAGAAATATATTCTGCTTTTATTATATTCTGCCACACATATATTCTGCTTTTTTCAGGAAGAGAAAGGGGTTGCTTATCTTGAACAAGATTTATGAGGAACACTACAGATCAGGTTTCATCAGTTGAAAAGAAGATTTTTTTGGGACTTCTCCTTAAAACAGGTGGTAGACAGTAATAGAAAATTAATAATTTAAAATGCTAATTAAGTCTCTAAAAATATCTAAGTTATGGAAAATGGAGAACTTAGTTTTGTTTTGAATTCCTTTCTACCTAATCCTACTAGTGATATAACTATGGGGATTTAAAAAGAGGCTAAATGTTAGTACGGAAAAATTGATAACAAAAGAAATAAGAATCATTAAAGTTAAGTTTGAATGTTTTGCGTAATAGGCAAAAAAAGTTTTAAATTTTAACACATAAAAAAGCCAAAATGGCAAGGAAACTAAATGTACATGGGATTGAAATATTCTCCAATGGTTCCGAAATCTTATTAAAGTTACAATGGTTATAGTTTGGGATATTAAAAACAACAATTTTTAAGGATTAATTATTTAGGTTTGAAACAAATTTTGTTTTAGAAAGAATAGTAATTCAGCATAATAATTTGGCATTGATGCAAACTTAAATAAAATTTTCTATTTAAAAAATAATAATTTCAATATAAATCTAATAAGATTTTATAATCAATACCTGCAACTTTAATAAGTATAATCTTCTTTGAAAAACGTTTTACCAGAGCACCTGCCGAACGTTCATAATCTACAATTTCATTGTAAAATAAAAAGATATAGAATATTTGCTGAGATAAACAACAAACTTAAAAATTTTTGTTAAGAAAAAATTTTTGCATCTCTTTAAATTTAATGCACCTTTTGCTTTATATAATAATTTTTATTCATATGTATACTACTTTGTTACAAGCTATGCAAATAACTTGCAAAAATGAATAAATAACTAGAACTGAAATTGGGGTGAAGTTTTTGATCCATTTCTCAGCAACAAATGTTTTGCTATTAACCATGTCTAATCAACTTATCTGCTTTAGTTAAGTGAATAAATTATGTGAATCTCTGGCTTAGAATTACAGTTAAAAATTTCACTAAAAAAACTTACAATTTTTTAATATCCATTCATTTAAAGGGTCATTTCGAAGAAGTAATTTTAATAAAATACTCACAGGTATTGTTACAGTATCATGACGAATAAATTCTCGGTCGGGCTGAACAAGCTAAAAGGGAAATAAACAACCGTAAATAACACTCATTTATGAACATTTGAAAATAAGCATTATAACATGCAAAATTCAAATTGTATAACTTCTTATATAAGGAATATTATATAATATATCTTATATAACCGAATTTACTTCCATGTATAAATTAATTTTTATCTATTCATAATATGAAGTACCCTCTCCCCAAAAAGTGGCTACAGTTCATAACTAATGAAATATATGATAATTTTAAAAGTTCGAATACCATTTAATCTCTTATAATATTACTTCTAATATTGGAAGGACTCTAGCATTTTCTAGCACAGCAGTATTACATTGCATCTTTTGAATGTTAAATAATGTCATTAGACCTGGAAAAAATTAAAATATTTATACTTAATTAAAAACTCTTTAAATATGATAATTCTCAAAAAAATATAAATAAATAAAATCATATTTGTAATTCTTTTTAAATAGAACATACTTTGCATATGGTTTTCTTAATATTTGCATTTTTAAAATTTCTTATCTGATTCAGTGGTGCAATAATCAAAAAGGTTGATATTTAAATTTAATATACAAACAACAAAACAATATGGAGTGGATATTAATCATTAGACTACCCAAGCCCTTCATAAGGCTTGTCACACAAGCGATACACTTATATAATTTTCATATAATTTAAGTTGATATTAGCACAATCTGTCATCAAGGCAGAAATTCATAACACTCCCTACCTAAACTTTTCTGAGTTCACTTACCAAAAATTCTGAATAGAATAACATACATCAATATTGAATACACACACAAAATTAGAATGATACAAAACCAATATTAAATTTATAATGACAATATCACAATTTTTGCAGAGATATGTCACAGCGTGTTTATGGTTTTAAACTTTAAATATATGTATCGGAAATGCATCTAATGAGGTTACATACCTGATGATTATTTTTCAATTTTATCCTTTTAGTTAAAAATTGTATTAAAAAAAGTTTTGTCGTTTATTGTATTAAAAAAACTTTTTTTGTCTTTTATATCAGAATGCAGATGAAAAGATTCACACAAATTTACTACAACATTTTAAAAAAATTTCTTTTTAAAGGTACAATCTTTAACTATAACTTCTTTAATACTTTTCTTAATCTTTTTTAAAATATATCTGTGAATATATATTCAGTCAAGATTTTTCCGAAGACTTTACTTTGAACTTTTTCACTGCAAAATGATAAAAATAACTTCTTTGGCTCTTTGAAATTGTCTCCGAATCTCTGCTTGGATAAAACTAGTCCAATAAACTAAATATCCGAAAGCAAAAAATGTCAGGATGAATTATATTTAAAATATTTCTCACGAGCTTGCCAGTGATGTGTCAATATTTTGAACTCTTTAATCAACTTAAATATTCTAAAATATTTCATGTTTGAAGAATGCTTGGAAAAAATAGATCTTTAAACTTTTTTTCATATTGTTTGTGATGCTGTATTAATGCATGGAGAAATGTCTCTCGCTGAAAGAAGAGATACTAAGTTGTGTTTTAAATACATAATGTTTCATTCATTATTTCAAAGTATCTGTGTATTCAATTATTAAATCCATAAATTCATAACATAATTTTTAAGTTGCATGGAAATTCACACTGGCAGACTGTTAACGATATATAGAACCAGAACCTCATTTAAACATTGTTCATTTCATATGTTAATCATATTTCCTACATCGTTTTTTACTGCGCCGTGAAATTTGCCTAAACTGATAATGTTAAATTATTCTGGATATTACATTAAACTTTTTAAAAAAATCTTGCTTTAAACATTTTTCTAGCAGATCAAAAAAAAAATTCTACAAAGTTTGCATTAAATTCTTACTGGTTTTTTTCCCTTCTTTTTTGCAAGAAAAGAAAGACTTGTTTATAAGCTGTTTGAAGCTGTTTTTGCATTCTTTCTCTTTTCTTTCTATTCTATATTAATGTCCTTGTCTGTGAGTGGGAATTTTCCTCTGGAGTCAAAATCAGAAGAGTGGTGGGATCAGCAAAGCCCAAGAAGGGTGGCTAAAGCTTAAATTGTAAAATTTGTAAGTGAATTTTTTTCCAGCAAGCAAAAAACCATTGAATATTGGTAATTAAATCATTTAAAGAACATTACATTAAACAATTCCAGTGACCTGCAAGATGTTGCTTAAGCAATAAATAAATGTTCTGGAAGCTCTAGAGCACTGACAGTGACGGTGACTTCTACACCGTTGGCTAAAATGCATTACAAATGGGTTTAATAAAGCAGGCTTCTCGATGCCTAAGAGCAACAGTGGACCTTCTGAATAGAATTGCGTGATTGAAGATCTTCCCAAGTCGATGACGCGTATATAGACTGAAACAGATAAGTAAAGAATATCGGAGGATACACACAAATCCAATCAAGATCTTCAAAGCATAAAAATATTTGCAAATGTAAACCTAAAAGTAAATTTGAAAACAATAGTAAGTATTAAGAGGGATATTGTTGAAATCATACATAAACAAGTAGAAATTACACATTTTTTCTAATAGTTCATCTCCTAAGTTTTTGAAAAATTTGCTTAGAATTTTTTACCCTGATTCCATACCTTCCTCCTTTGAGCGTTCTTTAATGTTAAATCTTCGGAAAACCTAAAATCAGGATTCCACTGCATATCAATAACTTGTAACTGTATTTCATAGTAGATTTTGAAAACCAAACTCTCTCTATGTTCATAATGAATGCTAATTTTCTTATACTTACATCAATCACACCTTCAATATATTGTTCAATTTCTCGAACTTTCTGTTGTATTATTTCTTGCTGAAAAGCTTCCCTTTCTACACGATTAATTTTTAAAGCTAATTCATGAACTTCCTTCTGAGCTTGAACTAAAAGGTTATAGTCAGAGTGTTCCATATTTGTATGTTTTAAAAGTTCCTAAATTAAAGAAATAGGAAAATCACTTTAAATCTTACAAGTAGATATACTTCAAATATTTCTTGAGACAAGTATTTCTCTATTATTAACTACTATGTTAAAACAGAAAAAAATTTTAAAAAAAGAAGAAAATGATTAAAAAATACTATTGTGAATATATCATAAAATAACAAAGTTCATTTAAAGAAAACCTGCACTTTCAAAGTCACAAGACAATAAAGTGAAAATCTCTTTAAGAACAAAAAAAAAAACTTGAAAAGAAAAAAAAATTACAATTTTTAAATAGTAATCTAGTAGTTTTTGAATAAATTATTTTTTTTCTAACTAATTACATTGTTCTTCCTAAGCATTTATAGCTCTTAAATTATTTATAGAAGGGCAGCCCTCACTACCTGCCCTTTGATTCTTATAAATACACCCTTCAAGCCCTTTTTGTAGAAATATGCCCCTACCCCCTAAAAACATTGCCTTTTAATATTATTTTTAGGAAAAGGTTGTTTTCCAAACCACCTGTTTGAATGAGAAGTACAAAGAAAAGAAACCGCTTTCAGACGAAACCTGATCTATGGTGTCCACAATAGATTAGTCTATAAATCTTGCCCCTTCTATTTCCCAGAAAAATCAGAATAAATGTGTAGCAGAATATAATAAAATCAAAATAAATTTCTTTCTTCAGAAAGTCTTTACACTTCATGGAGGAGAAAATGGTGTGGGGAAGAATACCAATTGATGTCCTCATTAAATTTCAACATTATTGATGCACAAGCGTTATACTATGCTTCAATACTATCGTTTTAAAATAGAGAAGTTTCAACATTTTACTGCTCTAAATTTGAATATCGTTTCAAATGCGTTGAGTTCCTTAATTTGCATTTTTCTCTACTTTTTTAAAACTAAAATGATAATAAAAATGCCCAAGAAGAAAATTAAATCATAAAAAAGAAAAATTAGAAAAAAGCAGCTAATGCTGTAATTAAGTTAGGTACTTCATAATTAAAAGCAAGGTAAGTGTTCAATATGGAACATGCTTATTTTAATTACTAATCTACCAATAATTGCTCTTTTTTTCTTCTTTTTTTACACCTTTTCTTTCTCTAATTTTTATTCACTATATTCAATACAAAATTAATTTGATTTTATAAATTAAGGGCATTATAATACATTGCAACTAACATAATTATTCCTAGTATAAATGTTTAATATTTACAATTAAATGTTTACTACTTTTTGTAATATTTTGATATCTGCTTCAATCATCTTCTAAGAAAATATTTGTCAGCAATTATCTAAGCTAAAAGTATTTCATATCTGTTCTGATTAGCATGATTGTTTATTTAATCACTTACATTCTAAAAGTGAAATTTCTTTTCTTACTTAACAACTCTAGTCCTTAAAGCTTTTAATTTATTTATTTCTTCAAGAGAATATTCTAAAATTTTTCTTTTTGAGAGCTAGTTCTAAAATTTTTTATCATTTCTACTTTTTTTTTAAAAAATTTTTTACATTAAACCACATTTCTTTTTTTTCTTCTTTTTTTTAAGAGCAAGAGCTGAATTATATGTTGTTTATTTTCAATCAACTTCCATCTATATTATTTTCAAATGTAACTAATAATTTTTTTCTCAATTTCACGCTTTTGCTTTAAAATTAGTTATTAGTTCCAACAAATCACTAATTTTTGTGCATGAGCACACACGTTTCTATATTTGATAGCCAGGATCCATCTGTTTAAGTAATTGGTTATTTTTAGTTCAATTTAACTTCATTTTATTCTGCAGAGTACTTATTTCCTTTCTGATAACTTGATTTAATTTAGAGTTTAGTCTTTAGTGAAGACTGCTTACAACCAAAATTGCATGTTTTGACTTCATCCATTTAAATCAGCTCCATCTGCGTAGTTATTAATTATTTTTAAGTGAAACTGATAATTTTTCATGCAACTGTTTAAAAATTAGTTCAACGATTTATTTATTTTTAAAACTGAATTTTGGAAAGCAAATCTGTACAATCATTTCATTTCAGTTTCATGCAAATCATTTTCAATTCAAATCATATCTGTTCAAGTAACTGATTATTTTGAGTGCAATTTAATTTCAGTCCTAACCCATCTTCATGGTTAATGATTATTCTCAAATGTAACCTACGGTTTTTATATTCGTTTACATTACTATATTGTAATTAGGTATTAGTTTAAACTACTCATTTGTTTTACAAAAAAAAAATATTTGGGTTAAGGTAGGTACTTCATTTACGTTGCACTAGACCTGCACAATGGGTTATTAGCAATAGTCTGGGAAACATCCCTGAAGATGATCCAAAAACATGCCATCACAATTTTGATCCTCTGCGGAGAGGATGGCTCCCCCACTTTGGCAGCCAGATGATCAGCGTACGTGGTTGAACAATTTATGGCAGAACAGTTTAACGAGGACTGATACCATGCTCCCTTGGTCCCTATGCAGGCTGATCAAAGGGGACACCCACTCGCTTACTGACCACAACTAATGACACTTGACTTTGGTATTCTACTGGAAACCGTGTCCTTACAATCAGTCCACTGCGACACAAGTTAAGGTTAAAGTTTATGGATTGCATGTTTCTTTATCCAACTATACTTGTTTAACTATTTTATTCATTTTTGTAATTTAGTTAGATATCAATTGAGCTTTTTAGCTAAAGGTATTATTTACATAAACCCTTATAATCAATAATGAATTTTGTACAGTCTAAAATATTTTTAAAGAAAATGTACAAAGGAAAATTTAACAGTGATTACCATTTTTATGTTCTTTTTCCAGATCTACTTAATATTTTGGCATTCGAAGGAAGCATATTCAGTACTAAAACACAAATTTTATTGAATGCAATTATAAAGAAGAAATGCAATGTTTTTGTTTAAGGGGAAAAAATCAGTTGTTTGGTCAGCATTTTTGATTTAAATCTACTTCTTAAACTCTGAAAAGGTTAGTTTTATTATTTTTAAATTACCCTTAAGGGAACACTAAATGGCCGGTGAAATAATTTAAGAGAATTTGCATATTTTATAGAATTTCATAAAAAGAATTGAACTGAATGTAAAACCACTGTTTCTTGACAAAAATGCAAATCTTGTACATCAGATACGTAAGCGTACATGCGTGTGTAGGCAGAGCCAGAACAGAAACAGGCTTTATAAGCACGCGTAAGTTAAGAGGCATAAGCGTACATGCGTGTGTAGGCAGAGCCAGAACAGAAACAGGCTTTATAAGCACGCGTAAGTTAAGAGGCATTTCGTTCGCTAGCCCACCTTAACAAATTTATTGGTGTTATTTTGCAGCAATAGGTTCAAATAGTAGCAGTAAAAATGAGTAACCATCAACGTTTAGATAATGGAATGAGGTGGCAAATTGTGGGGAGGCTAGAAGCAGGCCAATATCAGGTCCAGATTTGTAGATAGATCAATTTAACACCCAGTGTCGGCTGTAAGATAGGGAATCAGTTCCAGGATACCAGATTCATCAAGAGAAAGCCTGGGCAAGGTCGCCCAAGACCCACGACAGCTAGAGAAAATTGCCATTTGTTCATTATAGCGAGGCGTAACAGAGGGGATGCAGCTTTTCAGCTCTCTTGACTTGTATACAGCCACAGAAACCTGGGTGACTGTTTCCAAATAATTTCATGAAAGAGAGTTGCTTGCAAGAAGACCTGTTGTTTGCGTCCCGCTCACTTCTACGAACAGTAGAGTCCATGCAGCAAGGTGCAGAGAGAATAGATATTGGAGTATGGATCAATAGGCAACTGTTCTCTTCACTGATGAATCACAGTTCAGCATAAACACCGATTCTTGCTGTATGTTCATATGGAGAGAATCAGGGACCCACTACCTTCCCTCCAATGTCCACAAAACCGACCATTATGGCAAAGCAGGGTTATTGGTCTGGGAAGGCATTATGTAGGGCCGCACACCTCTCCATGTCTTTGAAAGAGGCTCTGTGACTGGTGTGAGGTATAGGGATGAGGTCTTGGAGCCCTAAGTTTGCCTTTTCAGGAGTGCGTAGGCCCTGAGTTCATTTTAATTTCATATAACACTGCATCATAATGCAAGGCCATATAGAGCTCTTTTGATCAACGAGTTTCTAGAGAGTAAGGATATTCGTCGGAAGGATTGGCCAGCCAGATCTCCAGACCTCAACCCATGGGTGCAAGTTGGAAAAAAGGCAAAAACTGAAATTTTTTTGACTGAAATACCTAACATACACAATACCCCCTCGACATATGCAAACTATCTAAGAAAGCTTTACCATAATACATCAAGTTTAAATACTGTACAAAAAATATTTATTCATCTGTCTTTTGATAAAATAACAACAGGACATAAGAAAGTAGACCAATAACGTAGACCTAAAAAATATTTTTAAGGACAGAAAATTTTTTTCCAATTTCCGTCTTCGAGTCAGTCTTGTTTCCGTCCGCAGACATCTTCGAAAGACGGAAATCCGTCCTGGGGACGGAAGACTTGCACCCATACCTCAACCCTATAGAGCATGTTTGGGACGCTCTGAGGAGGGCAATTGCAACTAGCTACCCCTTGAGAACTATCCAGAGAATGAAAAAAGTGCTGCTGAATGAGAGGGACCAATTGCCACAGGAAATGATAAACTGTCACATTCGAAGTATGAAATCATGCTGCAAGGCCTGTGTGACCATGTAAAACCATTTTTTTTTGCTTATTCTGCAACAGCTGTTTCATAACTTCGACTCTAACGAGTGTTACGCGCGATTATGCATGTAGAATGTTTTTTGTTTTGTTTTGTATTGTATCAATGTATGTACATATCAAATTTCATTAAAATCGATCCTGTAATTCTACAGACAATCGACCAAGCCTGAAAATTCTCTTTATTTCCTACACCAGTGTACATTAAAGCTTCAGTTCTCTATTTTTTAAATGAAAAAAGTTCAAAATTGACAACAATTTAATAATTAATTCAAGTAAGATTTTCAATAGGACAATATAGATT